GTGGCAATTGGGAAGCGTAACTTGAGCGAACGTCGCCGATTTCGGCCAGAAAGTCGTCTCTGCCTCCCACCGAATGATGCCAATGCCGAGTTGAGGCTCAGGGACGATTCCTCTCGATCTGGTGGCTACGTGCACGGAGCCGCATCATCTCAGCATTACAAAAAGGCTCAGTCCCTTTTACACGCACATTTATGTCATCCGTACCTAGTTTACACAACAAAGGCTCATTCCTAGCAGCGTGCTTCAGCCGCACCGAACCTCACAAAAATAATATTCAGGGTCTACCTTGGCTCTTCCCACCCTCAACCAGTATATATACAAATACTGTGTTCTTGGAATTTCTCTCACTTGATACAGCTATCGTGCTGTGACGGTTCCACCTGAAGACGGAAGCTTGTGTTGCCTCCGAAACGTCGTGATTTTTATTTTATTTTTATTTTACTTTTATTAATTTTAATTTTTTTACCTACGTGACTTTACCGAGAAAAAAAACCTAAGAGTATGAATCCTTGCAGTCACGAAAGCTTCAAATCTAGAACTACGTGCACGGATGTCGAACCCAGGTCACCGGGACTGGCACCGTGAGCGCAGAATCATCAACGCACCACCTCCCGTGACACTTCAGCAGCCAGAGACAAAGGTCCCCCGTGTAGCCGACGTAGACTTTAGGGGGCAAGTGTCGTTCGCGAGCTCTTGTGATGCGGCCAGCACAGCGCCCGGCCCCCCAAAAAACTGTCTCACCGGTGCCGATGTTTTAAGGCTGAGTCGACCTAGGCGAGGCCCAAGACCGGTTCGCAATTTTCGTCGCTGATGTTGGCCGAGAATTGGAACGCCAGCTCGTCGGGATCGTTGCGCGGTGCGCTAACCACTGTGCCACCGCTCCTCCACATTCGCGTAGACAGTACTGGCACGTACATGCATACGTCTACACGTGCATGCAGTACACGTACATACATATACACGTACGGGCAGTACACGTACATACATATACACGTACGGCAGTACACGTACACACGAAGTGTTCAACCCGTAGAGATATTGAGCCAACTTCGCAGGAAACAGATGTCACACACAGAATCAATAATCACATCGGAAATATTCACTTGCTGCAACACAGCTCGTACTGTAACTATAAACTATTGATGTGTGTAGTGTAGTGTGTAGTGTAGTGTGTAGTGTAGTGTGTAGTGTATAGATACAATTATATGTGTGTGTAGTGTAGTGTGTAGTGTACACATACAACTATGTGTGTGTAGTGTAGTGTGCAGTGTACACATACAACTATGTGTGTGTAGTGTAGTGTGTAGTGTAGTGTGTAGTGTAGTGTGTAGTGTATAGATACAATTATATGTGTGTGTAGTGTAGTGTAGTGTGTAGTGTACACATACAACTATGTGTGTGTAGTGTAGTGTGCAGTGTACACATACAACTATGTGTGTGTAGTGTAGTGTGTAGTGTAGTGTGTAGTGTAGTGTGTAGTGTAGTGTGCAGTGTAGTGTGTAGTGTAGTGTATAGTGTACACATACAACTATGTGTGTGTAGTGTAGTGTGTAGTGTGTAGTGTAGTGTGTAGTGTAGTGTGTAGTGTAGTGTGTAGTGTACACATACACAACACGTCGCGAGGGAAAATGAAATGTGCCCGGGCTCAAAGAGTCTCGACTGGTCAACGTGGACCGTGTATTTGTTTCAAGATGACGTCGTCACCCCCGTGACTGTGCAGGAATTCATATTCTGTAGATCTTTCGGTAAAGTCACGTAGATGGTAAAAACGAAAGTCGATAAAAATGTAAAACTACGACGTTTCGTTCACAACAGAAGCGATCGTCATCCTCCTGATCCTCCCGATGACGATCGCTTGTGTTGTGAACGAAACGTAGTATTTATTTTATTTTTTACTTAAATTTTTTTTATGAACGTAACTTCATCGAAAGATCCACAGAATGTGTCACCGTCCTTTACAACCCCACTCCGGCCACAAGCGCGCGAGACAATTGAGATTCGGTTAAAGAAAACGTTAACGAAACGTAATTCTACGTCCAAACGTAGTGTTTTTTTTTTAAATAAAATAAAAGTCACGATATTTAGTCGGGAAGGAAACGGAGTACGGAGATGGAGCGACGAACATAACAGTTCGTGTCCAGGTGCTCGACGGATTATTACAGAATCAGAAAATGTGTTTTTACTGGAGAAATCCGATGAATTAGAAAGCTCTTTTCAACAGACGTCCAGTATCGTGAGAGGTTCGAGGAGGCCTTCATCCAGCAGTATATTGCCCATGACCGATGATACATTTTTCGTTGCACAGCCCGATTGTTAAACCACTTCTGGGTGAAGGTCTCAACCATGCCGTTGTTTGACTATACTTCACCACGCTGGTCAGTGCGGCTTGGACCGGTTCTGACATCACTCGCCACTGACGCGTTATGAGCCGTGATCGGGAATCGAACTCAAGTCGCCGGTCCTCCTAAACGAATTGCCTCTCCTTATCGTGACCAGTAAAAAAAAACATACACATATACGTAGCCTCGAATCGCGTCTATTAAATTCACACAATTCTTACGCACCGCGGAGTGATCCCGAAAGTAGTGCGCGCTCGAGAAGAACTCAGCGCCTTGCCCCGTGACTTATAAAGTCCCATGGGGCCGATCCTACTACCCAACAAAACTTGCTTAAGTTTGGGTCAAACAAATATCATCGATGGAATTTTTTTTTATCAACGTCTAACTTATCATTCGAGTAATCGATTCATGAAAAAAACCATTAGGGCATCCCTCCATTCTCAATCGACTGCAGTATGAAAGGCCTTCCAGCCTCGTATCGGTCAATGGAAAGTTTCTGGGTCATACTTCCCTGCGAGCTGCTCAAGGTTGGTGGAGTTGGGGGGGGGAGTGACCGGCTCACAATTCACTCGCCACTGATGTTAAGAGACCTGGCCAGGGAATCGAACTTGGGTTCCGCGGGGATCAGTAGCGCGGGGCGCACCACAGAGCGCCGTTTTTCGACACAGAAACGTTCTGAAACTGCCCGGCGGTCAGGGGTAGCCGCGCGTTTTGTATGTTTCGAGAGGCATCGCATCCGCTGGCAAGACGCTCGCAACAACGCGGCACCGTCCGCTAAAGTTTTAAAACAAAGCATCGGTTTAAATCTGGAACTCGAATGATTATTTTTTATATAGCGACGGTTAACGTTGATGACCCATTATGTAATTTTTTCGTTATACAGCAAAGCCGCCAACTGAGTCTGCAGACTCGTTCTTTGTACGCGCGGGTCTTGCATTTCTTTGTTAACACATTGTTGCAAAATCACGGACTGTATCTCAAACGTATAGACTGTACAACGCCAAAGTTTAGACGCGTGAATCGATCATCGCTCCCAGGATCACGGGGTTTTATTTACTGAAACGTTTCAACCTCATAATATCAAAATATGAAAACAAAAACTATCGCTTTTCAATTCCCATTTAAGTCGTGGGTTTCGCGCGCTGTCCTACGAACTTGGAAGCGCTAAGTTCGATTCGCGGCCCACGGCCATCATCAGTGGCACCGTCTCATCGGACCCGATGTTCGCATCACCCCTCTGCTTCGCTAACCCGCGCGCGCACCAGCGTGGTGAAGTATGGTCAAACGACACGGCTTAGGCTAGGCGCGAAGACAGACATGGATTGGTGCATTTTCAAAAGCAATATTAATTATTTTTATATTCATTATTCGTTAGAGAGCGCAGAGAGAGACCAGCACCTCCAATGAACACGGTTGGCTACGTACGGTGCGAAAGAAGTCCAATATAAATCCTGCCCAAAGACTCAACACTGCCCATAGGCTCAACACTGCCCATGGACTCAACACTGCCCATAGACTCAACACTGCCCAAAGACTCAACACTACCCATAGACTCAACACTATCCATAGACTCAACACTGCCCATAGACTCAACAATGCCCATAGACTCAACACTACCCATAGACTCAACACTGCCCATAGACTCAGCACTGCCCATAAACTCAACACTACCCATAGACTTAACACTGCCCATAGACTCAACAATGCCCATAGACTCAACACTACCCATAGATTCAACACTACCCATAGACTTAACACTGCCCATGGACTCAACACTACCCATAGACTCAACACTGCCCAAAGACTCAACACTGCCCATAGACTCAACACTGCCCATAGACTCAACACTGCCCATACACTCAACACTGCCCATAGACTCAACACTGCCCATAGACTCAACTCTGCCCATGAACTCAACACTACCCATAGACTCAACACTGCCCAAAGACTCAACACTGCCCATAGACTCAACACTGCCCATAGACTCAACACTGCCCATACACTCAACACTGCCCATAGACTCAACACTGCCCATAGACTCAACACTGCCCATAGACTCAACACTGCCCATAGACTCAACACTGCCCATAGACTCAACACTGCCCATAGACTCAACACTGCCCATAGACTCAACACTACCCATAGACTCTACACTGCCCATAGACTCAACACTACCCATGGACTCAACACTACCCATAGCCTCAACACTACCCATAGACTCAACACTGCCCATAGACTCAACACTACCCATAGACTCTACACTGCCCATAGACTCTACACTGCCCATAGACTCAGCACTGCCCATAGACTCAACACTGCCCATAGACTCAACACGCCCATAGACTCAACTCTGCCCATAGACTCAACACTGCCCATAGACTCAAAACTACCCATAGACTCAACACTGCCCATAGACTCAACACTACCCATAGACTCAACACTACCCATAGACTCAACACTGCACCTCCGATGCGTGCGGTTGGCACCGCACGGTGCGAAATAAGTTCAACGTGAAACCGGACAAGCAGGCGCAGTGGTCGTGAGTGCGGCGATGTCGACCGAACACCGTCGTTGGATCATTGACAGGCGCGCGTGTGGCAAACAAGCGTGTGGCGAACAAGTGATGTGGTGATGCTTCTTGGGAGGCGACGGACGACTCACCTTAGGCGCACGAAGAGTCGGCAGTGTCGCACCCTCTCGTTCGGTCGCGACGGACAACTCCAAGAAGAACGAACGCAAACAAAGTGTCGTGATCTTCGCCAAAACGGCTCTTCGCCACGTCTTCCGTTGCTCCTTGAGATTGTTTCAAACTCTCTCTCCCCCCCCCCCCCCCCCCCACACACACCACCGTATTTATAAAGAAGTATTCAGAGCGCCTTCAAACCCTGAACCCCCAAAATCCCAGATCCGAGATTGTCGGGAAAATCTTCAAAACCGTTCTCGAATTCTGCACCGCGAAGCCTCGAAACCTCTCCCGCCCGCCACTCCAAACCAACTTTGACGGCTACCAACCGAACCGAACTCTGGGAGGGAAGAAGACGGACGACTCGGGCACAGCTGAAGGTGGAGAGGGAGAGACAAAGAGGGGGCAGGAGCATCACAATCCGCGAGACGCGAGGGATGCTTCAACCGACGCTCCCCTCCCGCGTAGGAGTTTCGCTCATACGCGAGACTCGCTGCACTTAGACGCAGAGAGAGACAGAGCGAGAGACAGCGTGAGGCTCGTCCCGTGCCTCCTCCTCCTCCTCGTCTCGCTATGCCAAGCACACCCCCCTCTATCACTGTCTCTTCCCAACTCAGTGGCTGCGCGTGTTGCTGCTGCTGCTGCTACTACTTCTACTACTGCTACTACTGCTGCTGATACTGATTATGTGTGAGCACGTTTTAGTGAGCCGGCGGTCACGCGTCAAACTCAGCCGAGCGTCTGCCACACTGACGACAGACTAACGCGGTGGGTCTCAGATCCCCCTATTGTTGGATCGAATGGATATCCGCCCTTTGGAATTAATCTTAAATCGCGTCTTGCTGCCACTGCCGCCGCCGCTGCTGTGTTTGAATAGCTCCTCATTGATGAGTCACGGTCCGGAGTTGAACTCGATCATTAACGCCGGGATTTCCGTGTGTGTATTGGCGCTGAGAATGATTGGGCTGCCTGGTTCGTCATTAATTTTTTTTTTGGATTGACGACTGTTATCCTCCCGAACTAATTGCTGATTTGGGTGGACGTAATCTCTCGCCTTCGCGTTGGTTTACATGGGTTCTCACACACACGTGCACATATTGACACAGCACTTACACGTGTGTGTGTGTGTGTGCGTTGCGATGTGTTAACATACAATGCATCTGCACCGTTAATCTTACAAGGTAAAAACCAACAACGACAACAACAAAACTCCCCACATTCATCGATAACACTGGCGCTAAAGAAACAAACATTTAAACGCATCGCGCTGCAGATGACGTTCCGTGCAAGGGCCCTTTTTCATCGCAGATAAATATCTCCTCCCCACCCCCAGCAGCTCCAAAAGTCCTACTACAACAAGTTCGGAAACATAAAAAAAAACGTCGCGAATAGTCTCGTGCGATGCACGCACCGTTATTACCTTTGGTGCGCGTGTCTCTCTTGCTTCGCGTGTCTCTTCCCGTGTCTCTCTTGCTCCGCGTGTCTCTTCCCGTGTCTCTCCTGCGTCGCTTCCCGTGTCTCTCTTGCTTCGCGTGTCTCTTCCCGTGTCTCTCCTGCTTCGCGTGTCTCTCCTGCGTCGCTTCCCGTGTCTCTCCTGCTACGCTTCGCGTGTCGCGCTCTTAAGGCGACGGGCGCAGCGCGGTCTCGCTCCGAGCCACACAGCTCCACGTGAAAGCTCCCGGGGCTCAGCCAGTAATTAAATCCATCTCGCCGTTCGCACGACGCGAGTCGAGAGAGAGAGGAGGGGGGGGGTGAGCTTGAGGAAGGAGGGAGGAGGGAGGAGGAGGAGCGAGAAGGGGGGAGGGGAGAGAGAGAGAGAGAGCGCGATTCCCCCCCCCCCCCCCCACCTTTTACTCCCCACAACGCACAAAACCAATCATCTGGTTTGCGTAAAACATTTCGGGAAATGAAGGCGAGCGGGTGGGTGGGTGGGAGCGCGAACCTCCGTTTCAAAATAAAAGTTCCCCCCCCCCTCCTCCTTCTCCCCCCGCAGCGCCCCTTCAAATTCTCTCGCCAAGTGGCTCACGAGAGGGGATTGGAGCAATCTGCGAAGACGCCGCCGATGTATCTCCGTGTGTCCTGCAGCAGACTGCTGGGTGCAAGTGCTGTGAGCGAGCGGCTGTGAAGGCCGGCACGGCGGCACACACGAGGCGGGCGAGTGGCCGACACCACGCCCGGCCGCCTTTGTCTCCCCCAGTGACGACGTTTTTTACGCACCGAACCAGGTAGTCATTTGAGGTTGAGTCGACCTAGGGGATGCCCGGGACCGGCTCAATTAATCGTCGCCGGTGTTGGCCGTGAGCGGGAATCGAACTCTGGTGGCCTGGTTCGTAGCGTTGCGCGTTAACCGCTACACCACCGCTCCCCACACACACTCACCACGTACACACTCACCACGTACACACACACCACGTACACACACACCACGTACACACTCCCCACGTACACACACACCACGTACACACTCACCAAGTACACACACACCACGTACACACTCACACGTGCGGTGCGTGCAGCCCACCCCCACACATCTTCGTGCTGGTTCACGCCCCCAACACTGCCACATGTGAGACCCCAACCCCACGCCAGCGTCAGCCACTCCCCAAGTCCTCCTACCCCGTCCAGCTCAGATTGCCCCTTCCCCACCCCACTCAGAAGCTTCCTAGCCCATCCCACTCAGATTGCCCCTACCCCACCCCACTCAGAATCTTCCTAACCCATCCCACTCAGATTGCCCCTACCCCACCCCACTCAGAATCCTCCTAGCCCATCCCACTCAGATTGTTCCTACCCCACCCCACTCAGAATCCTCCTACCCCATCCCACTCAGAATCCTCCTACCCCACCCCACTCAGAATCCTCCTACCCCACCCCACTCAGAATCCTCCTACCCCACCCCACTCAGAATCTTCCTACCCCACCCCACTCAGAATCTTCCTAGCCCATCCCACTCAGATTGTCCCTACCCCACCCCACTCAGAATCTTCCTACCCCACCCCACTCAGAATCCTCCTACCCCACCCCACTCAGAATATTCCTACCCCACCCCACTCAGAATCTTCCTACCCCACCCCACTCAGAATCTTCCTACCCCACCCCACTCAGAATCCTCCTACCCCACCCCACTCAGAATCCTCCTACCCCACCCCACTCAGAATCTTCCTACCCCACCCCACTCAGAATATTCCTACCCCATCCCACTCAGAATCTTCCTACCCCACCCCACTCAGAATCCTCCTACCCCACCCCACTCAGAATCCTCCTACCCCACCCCACTCAGAATCTTCCTAGCCCGCCCCACTCAGAATTCTCCTAGCCCATCCCCACTCAGATATGCCCTACCCCATCCCACTCAGAATCCTCCTTCCCCACCCACTCAGAATCCTCCTACCCCACCCCACTCAGAATCCTCCTACCCCACCCCACTCAGAATCTTCCTAGCCCGCCCCACTCAGAATGTTCCTACCCCACCCCACTCAGAATCCTCCTACCCCACCCCACTCAGAATCCTCCTACCCCACCCCACTCAGAATCCTCCTACCCCACCCCACTCAGAATCCTCCTACCCCATCCCACTCAGAATCCTCCTACCCCACCCCACTCAGAATCTTCCTACCCCACCCCACTCAGAACCCTCCTACCCCACCCCACTCAGAATCTTCCTACCCCACCCCACTCAGAATCTTCCTACCCCACCCCACTCAGAATCCTCCTACCCCACCCCACTCAGAATCTTCCTACCCCACCCCACTCAGAATCCTCCTACCCCACCCCACTCAGAATCTTCCTACCCCACCCCACTCAGAATCTTCCTACCCCACCCCACTCAGAATCTTCCTACCCCACCCCACTCAGAATCCTCCTACCCCACCCCACTCAGAATCCTCCTACCCCACCCCACTCAGAATCCTCCTACCCCACCCCACTCAGAATCTTCCTACCCCACCCCACTCAGAATCCTCCTACCCCACCCCACTCAGAATCCTCCTACCCCACCCCACTCAGAATCTTCCTACCCCACCCCACTCAGAATCCTCCTACCCACCCCACTCAGAATCCTCCTACCCCCACCCCACTCAGAATCTTCCTACCCCACCCCACTCAGAATCTTCCTACCCCACCCCACTCAGATCCTTCCTACCCCACCCCACTCAGAATCCTCCTACCCCACCCCACTCAGAATCCTCCTACCCCACCCCACTCAGAATCTCCTACCCCACCCCACTCAGAATCCTCCTACCCCACCCCACTCAGAATCTTCCTACCCCACCCCACTCAGAATCCTCCTACCCCACCCCACTCAGAATCCTCCTACCCCACCCCACTCAGAATCCTCCTACCCCACCCCACTCAGAATCCTCCTACCCCACCCCACTCAGAATCCTCCTACCCCACCCCACTCAGAATCTTCCTAGCCCGCCCCACTCAGAATCTTCCTACCCCACCCCACTCAGAATCCTCCTACCCCACCCCACTCAGAATCCTCCTACCCCACCCCACTCAGAATCCTTCCTACCCCACCCCACTCAGAATCTTCCTACCCCACCCACTCAGAATCCTCCTACCCCACCCCACTCAGAATCCTCCTACCCCACCCCACTCAGAATCCTCCTACCCCACCCCACTCAGAATCCTCCTACCCCACCCCACTCAGAATCTTCCTACCCCAGCCCACTCAGAATCTTCCTAGCCCGCCCCACTCAGAATTTTCCTACCCCACCCCACTCAGAATCTTCCTACCCCACCCCACTCAGAATCCTCCTACCCCACCCCACTCAGAATCCTCCTACCCCACCCCACTCAGAATCCTTCCTAGCCCAGCCCCACTCAGAATTTCCTAGCCCCCCACTAGATCCCTACCCCATCCCACTCAGAATCCTCCTACCCCACCCCACTCAGAATCCTCCTACCCCACCCCACTCAGAATCTCCTAGCCCCCCACTCAGAATTCCTAGCCCATCCCACTAGATGCCCCTACCCCACCCACTCAGAATCCTCCTACCCACCCCACTCAGAATCCTCCTACCCCACCCCACTCAGAATCCTCCTACCCCACCCCACTCAGAATCTTCCTACCCCCCCACTCAGAATTTCCTACCCCACCCCACTCAGAATCCTCCTACCCCACCCCACTCAGAATCTCCTACCCCACCCCACTCAGAATCCTACCCCACCCCACTCAGAATCTTCCTACCCCACCCCACTCAGAATCCTCCTACCCCACCCCACTCAGAATCCTCCTACCCACCCCACTCAGAACTCCTACCCCACCCCACTCAGAATCTCCTACCCCACCCACTCAGAATCTTCCTAGCCCGCCCCACTCAGAATTTTCCTACCCCACCCCACTCAGAATCTTCCTACCCCACCCCACTCAGAATCCTCCTACCCCACCCCACTCAGAATCCTCCTACCCCACCCCACTCAGAATCTTCCTAGCCCGCCCCACTCAGAATTTTCCTAGCCCATCCCACTTAGATTGCCCCTACCCCATCCCACTCAGAATCCTCCTACCCCACCCCACTCAGAATCCTCCTACCCCACCCCACTCAGAATCTTCCTAGCCCGCCCCACTCAGAATTTTCCTAGCCCATCCCACTTAGATTGCCCCTACCCCATCCCACTCAGATTGCCCCTACCCCATCCCACTGAGGGTTGCCCTACCCCTCCAAATAATGAATGCAACTCCGCCTACTCAACTCGAACGTCTCACCCCTCCTCCTCCTTAAAGTACAAATCTCCGTCCCTGCCTCGTCCCCCACGACCCCTCCCCCACGGGGCCCCCACTGCTCTCCACAGTCACCGTCTGCAAATAAACACGTGGATGAACACATGCGCAGCACACACACACACACCGCCACACACACAACACACACAAACACCACACACACACACCGCCACGCACACACACCGCCACGCACACAACACACACAAACACCACACACACACACCGCCACACACAAACACCACACACACCACACACACACAAACACCACACACACACCGCCACACACAAACACCACACACACAGACACCGCCACGCACACAACACACACAAACACCACACACCACACACCGCCACACACAAACACCACACACACACACACAACCGCCACGCACACAACACACACAAACACCACACACACACACCGCCACACACAAACACCACACACACACACACCATATACACACACCACACACACACACCACCACTACACACCCACCACACACACACCCACACACACCAAACACCACACACACACAACCCACACCACACACACACACCACACACAGACACCACACACACACACACCACCACACACAAACACCATACACACACACACACCGCACGCACACAACACACACACACCACCACACAAACACCACCACACACAAACACCACACACACACACACCACACACACCACACACCACCACTCACACCACCACACACACCACACACACAAACACCACACACACCACACACACACCCCACACACAGACACCACACACACAAACACCACACACAAACCGCCACACACACACACACACCACACACACACATACCACACCACACACACACCACACACCATACACAGCACACACACCACCACACACACCACACACACAACACACACCACACACACAAACACCACACACACACAGCACACACCACACACACACCACCACACACCACCACACACACACAGCACACACCACGCA